TTTTATGAATGAAACATCAAAGATCTCATCCCTTTGGACCCCAAGCAGCTAAATTTAGAATAATAGGTAAAAACCATCATTATATATTATAATATTATGAACAGTGAATATGTAGCCACATTTAAACAGAGTTAGATAATTATGCCCTCCATAACCCCATACACAGAAAAATATAAAGCAGATGTTATCGAGTTCTCTGGGAGCTTGAGCATTGTCCTCAATCAGCAATCAACAGGTTGTCCAATAACAAGCACAGTCTGATTAAGCTACATACGTAAATGTTCCCTGTGATTTAATAATAGTATCATTTTCCTCAGAGTTCACAGTTTTGATGTCATATGGCAATTTCTGATAAATATGTGAAAGCAACAATTCATTTATAGCTGAGATAGTTAAGTGTGGATGACAGCTTGTATTAGTGACCCGATACAAATACAATTCTGTTCTTCACATCTGCTATGGTCCTCTCTCTCTTTAGACATCTGGCCTCAACTAGGACACGTAAGATTCCAGTTCCAAAGGTACACCCAAAAGGATCGGGAAGAACAGCAGGGCAGGCACATAAACACAAATAGGTCCAAGCTGTCACAATTAACTTTGAAAAAGAATATAATTACTGGACCAATGAAAGTTCTTGACATTGTTAAAGAGGATTAAGTATGAATGATTTTTCAAAACCACACACCGAATTTAGTGAAGTTTTTTATATATATATATATATAGAGAAAACACAGGACACATGAATCGATGACAGGTGCACAGAGGAAAAAGCTGTAGAGAAATACATATAAACTGCTAACATTTTTATTCAGTTTTAACATTTCGTCTGTCTGACTTTCATCAGGTGCAAAGAAACTGTGTTCATGCACCTTTGCACATATACACACACATTAAGTAAGATTCAGCCAATTAAGAATTTCTGGCTATTAGACATCTCAAACGTGCGCACTATCAATCGGGTAATGAGTAAACTTAAAATGTGTTGCTGAATTGGATTTTGTGGGGGTTCCTGTGGGACCTCTCTTTTTTGGGAGAGGTGTGATGAACCCTGCTCATTGTTTTAAACCTTCTCTAAAGTGTTTCAGATCTGGTGGGTGCAGCAGGGTTCATCAGTGCCAACTGGGCCTTTTGTTCCCAAACTATAAATCTTCCTGCACTGCTTTTTCTTTACTCTTTGTTGTTTGTTGCTGTAGCGTTTGACCCGATAAACATACGCTGGGGCGATTATTTTGACAGCAAAACTTTTTATTTAGAGATGTGGGTTTATTCACAGCCACTCCCGCTCTCTGCAGCTGTCACATCCGCCCTCCCTCCGACTGTCACTGTCAACATAAAAAGACACACAATCAATGTCGGAACCCAGCACAGCTGTCGACCCCGCCCCTGCGCCGCCCCGGGAGCTCACTGTGTCACCCCTCCTCTGCAGCTGGCAAGAGACCACACCCACGCCACAGTTGCATTTACAACACTTGCATACATCTCAGCATACGTGCATACCTTACATCATAGCTCCTATTGATTTGTGTAGCCCATTAAGTTCTGTTTCAGTAGTCTAATTTTGTTTATGAACCTTCCAAAGAACCTTCAAAATGCATCCCAAACAGTAAAGACATGCAGTTAGTTTAGTTTTATTATAAGTTTTA